AGCTCTCGAGCTGTGCAAAGAGGAGCAGGAAGGGCATTTCTGAAGGAGGGAACCGGAAGGAAGATGAAGAAATCATCTCCCTTGGTCCCTGTTTCCTTATCTGGAAAAGTATGAAAAGTGTGCTATAAGTTTTATGTTTTTCTGAAAGAGTATCACAGGCCCAAAAGACAAAAAACATAATCCATATTCTAGAGAATTGAAATGTTGCCCTCTTTGAAAGAAAAGAACCAGAAGCATCTGTTTTTGGTTTATTCATAGATACTTGCTACTCTTCCTATCTTCTACGGCAATATTCTACTGGGTCAGTATTATCTGTTGGACTCCAGCTCTTTGGATAACAGGGTTTTTGGTGAAATAAACATTATATGGTCAAATAAGTGTGATGAAGCTGATCAAAGTGAAATTAGTATTTTACTCTCGGTTTACTCACAGCCTGTAAGATGCAAATGTGCAGTCATGATTCCCTAAGCTGAGGGATGTAGTTTGCCATGTTTTCCAAACTTTTTTTCCTTTGGAGGACATCTTGAAATGGGTTGTTTTCTTGAACTTAAGTCAGAAAATGCTGCATTAGCTGATGCTAACTCAGAATACCATGATTATTATTTTACCTGTGAATGAACTATTCCAGGCATTTCTCAGTTCCCCATGCTCTTTGAGAAGGCAGTGCAGTTATAATGGGTTAGCAGACTTTTTTTCCAAGTGATTGAATTAGGGAATTAACAATTCTCATATACATTAACTCACTTATATTCACAACAATCCATGAGATGGGTACTATTATTATTATTATTATTATTAATTATTTATTTTTTTGAGACAGAGTCTCTCTGTTGCCCAGGCTAAGTGCAGTGGTGCTATCTAGGCTCATGGCAACCTCCTCCTCCCAGGTTCAAGTGATTCTACTGCCTCAGCTGCCCAAGTAGCTGGGATTATGGGCATGTGCCACCACGACAGGCTAATTTTTTTATTTTTAGTAGAGACAGGGTTTCCCCATGTTGACCAGGCTGGTCTTGAACTCCTGGCCTCAAGTGATCCACTTGCCTTGGCCTCCCAAAGTGCTGGGATTCCAGGTGTGAGCCATTATGCCCGGCTGAGATGGGTATTATTATTATCTTTGTTTATGGATAAGGACCTTGAGGCACAGGGGCATTAAATCAATTGCCCAAGGTCACACAACCATTAGTAATAGAACTGAGATTTGACCTGAGCAGTTTGGCTCCACAACCTGGACAGGCAACCACTGCCTTATGTGAGCTTGGGAAAATCATCTTATTTCTCTGTACTTAATTTAATTCATAATAAAGTGGGTGATAATAATATCTGCCCTAACTCCCTCCCTGAGTTATTGTGAGATTATCAGGAAAAAACAAAGTTACAAAAGTACAGTAAAATTCAGTATGGCTATTCAAACATTCAAATGAAGAAATATACTAGATGGAGTTAAAATTTCTTTAATTACAAGGAGTTAAAAGCCACAATTATCCAATTGTCCTTCACCTGTGCTTCATTATGAATATCCTCTTACTTTTTTTTTTTTTTTTTGATACAGAGTTTCGCTCTTGTTACCCAGGCTGGAGTGCAATGACGTGATCTCGGCTCACCGCAACCTCCGCCTCCTGGGTTCAGGCAATTCTCCTGCCTCAGCCTCCTGAGTAGCTGGGATTACAGGCACGCGCCACCATGCCCAGCTAATGTTTTGTATTTTTTTTTTTTTTTTTTTTTTTTGAGATGGAGTCTTGCCCTTTCGTCAGGCTGGAGTGAAATGACACAATCTGGGCTCACTGCAATCTCCGCCCCCTCATCCCCCCACCCCCCCGCCCCAGGTTCAAGTGATTCTCCTGCCTCAGCCCCCTGAGTAGTTGGGATTACAGGCACCCGCCACCACGCTCAGCTAATTTTTGTATTTTTAGTAGAAATGGGGTTTGCCATGTTGGCCAGGCTGGTCTTGAACTCCTGACCTAAGGTGATCCACCCGCCTCAGCCTTCCAAAGTTCTAGGATTAGAGGTGTGAACCACAGAATCCAGCTCAATTTTTGTATTTTTTTTTTTGTAGAAACGGGATCTCAGTATGTTGCCCAAGCTGACAAAGAACTTTTAAACACAGTTGAAACTGTACAACCATAGAAGGTGCCACCTTGGGAATGTCTGGAAAAACTAAAAAAGTTAAAATGGCAAAAGCTCAAAAGATTATCGGGTGTCCTATGGTATGCTAGTCTTATCTAAAGCACCTTTCTGGATTATCTGATTTTTAAATGATTTGTGCCTTATAAAATCTTGCAGCTATTTTCCAACTTGGTAAGTTGTAGAAAATTCATGGGAATGTCAATAATTCTTGTCCATAGAGATATAAATGAATTTTGCCTGGTAGAAGTGCAATTGTTCTTCCAATTATTATTTATTTTTATTTTTATTAAAACAAAATTTTTTTTCTTTTTTTATTTTAAGTTCTGGGGTACATGTGCAGATCTTGCAGGACTGTTACACAGGTATACACATGCCAAGGTGGTTTGCTGCCTCCATCCCCCCATCACCCTTCTCTTAATATTATTCTTCCCCAATCTCCCTACCTCCTGCTATCCATCCCCTAGCCCCCCACCCACAACAGACCCCAGTGTGTGATGTTCCCCTCCCTGTGTCCATGTGTTCTCATTGTTCAACACCGACTTATGAGTGAGAACATGTGCAAAACAAAATTTTTAAGACAGAGTCTTGCTCTGTTGCCCAGGCTGGAGCCCAGTGGTGTGATCTCAGTTCACTGCAATCTTCACCTCCCAGGTTCCAGACATTCTTCTGTCTCAGCCTCAGCTGGGATTTATAGGGGTACGCTACCACACACGGCTAATTTTTTGTATTTTTAGTAGAGATGAGGTTTCAGGATGTTGGCCAGGCTGGTCTCGAACTCCTGATGTCAGGTGATCTGCCCACCTCAGCCTCCCAAAGTGCTGAGATTACAGGTGTGAGCCATCAAATCAGGCCAATTGTGCGTTTATTAATGCGTTCATTTCAGCATTCCTGATTGCCTATACATGAGTGCGCTCTTTTTGTTTTCCTCTGGACAGGGTTAGCCTCTTACTGGTTTCCTCATTCATTAATGAATAAAACAAAGTCTTTGATGTGTGTGCATTTTATATTTGTAGGGAAGTCATGATTTTACTCTTTTAGCAACAATTATCTGTAACAGGAACCCTTTGAACAGAGGCTGACAGGCCACCCTTGATTCCTGCTGTAGAAAGAATTTCTTACTCCAGACCCCAATGGTCCTTTTCAGATTTCTAACATGAAGGGTCGTTCATAGCTCTGTCTCTCTCAGAAGACTCTATTTTCCTGAAGCGCAGGGACCTAGCCGTCGCCACTAACAAAAACGTTTTAAGGGCAGGGTGTGGTGGTGCACGCCTGTAATCCCAGCACTTTGAGAGGCCAAGGAGGACGGATCGCTTGAGTTCAGAAGTTCCAGACGAGCCTGGGCAACATGGAGAAACCCTCTCTCTACAAAAAATGCAAAAATTAGCCGGGTGTAGTGGCAGACGCCTGTAATCCCAGCTACTTGGGAGGCTGAGAAGGGAGGATGGCTTGGGCCAGGGGGTCGAGACTGCAGAGAGCCATGATCACACCACTGCACGCAATTTGGGCAACAAAACGAAACTCTGTCTAAAAAACAGACAGCAAGCAAGCAAGCAAGCAAACAAACCAACCCACCCCCAAACTCCCCCAAAATGTTTTAAGGAGGTGGTAGTGTGCATTTCTGATCTACTCGCCCTTCCTAGTGTGACCACCAGGGGGCGCGAAAGCCCTCCCAGTACGAAGTGGGGTCCACCCTGCGGGCGAGCGCGGCGGGCAGAAGGACCCGCGCGGGACGCGGAAGAGGACTAGGGCCGAGACCCGCGGGGCCGGCTCAGACAGCCTGACCGTATCTTTTTCTTCTTCTTTTTTTTTTTTAGACGGAGTTTTCGCTCTCGTTACCCAGGCTGGAGTGCAATGGCACTATCTCGGCTCACCACAACCTCCGCCTCCCGGGTTCAGGCAATTCTCCTGCCTCAGCCTCCTGAGTAGCTGGGATTACAGGCACGCACCACCATGCCCAGCTAATTTTTTGTATTTTTAGTAGAGACGGGGTTTCACCATGTTGACCGGGATGGTCTCGATCTCTTGACCTCGTGATCCATCCGCCTCGGCCTCCCAAAGTGCTGGGATTACAGGCTTGAGCCACCGCGCCCGCCCCGACCGTATCTTTATGGGAGCCGATGAGGTCAGCAGGGAGCATGCACCCAGATGGCAGAAGAGGGCAAGGTACTGCTAGAATGACGAAGACATTGACGGCCTTTTCACCTGAAAACACAGAGCAGATCCTATTCTGGAGGATTAAATCTTCGGCTCGCCAGCCCCGTTTGTTGAGCTCCACTCTGATGAATGTGTCATTTGTTCCCAAGAAGACAAATTAGGTAGGGAAAAGAGGGGGAGGCGGGGAGAAGACTGGGATAAAGGGACGATCCGCTTCTCGGAAGCGGAAGCCGCCGTGGGAACCACCTGCGCGCGGCGCGGGCTGCGAGGAAGGGCGAGCGCTCCTGTGCAGGGCCCTGGGTTTTACAGCCCCTCCTCGCTCGCAGGCTTCACAGCAAACTACGAAGTGGGCATCGTCTCCAATTTACAGACGCGGGAACGGGCTCCCCTTGAGAAACGATGCTTTCCCAAACGTATGCAAATTGTGAGTGCCCGGTGTCTCCACTGGCACCAACAACAGGAGCTGCTTACGTTTCTCGGAGCGGTCCCCACTTCCAACAGGCAAAAGATCCACGTTCTTTGACCTCCCCGAGCCGTCCTGCATCTCCAGATCTCCAGGTCTTTCCTCGGGACACCTCCCCCATCCCCCCACTTTCGCTGCGAGCACCCCCGAGGCTGATTCCGCTCCTCGGAATGCCTTCCCCCCGGCGGTTTATTTTTAGAATACTCGACTCACACCCAACCACATCACATTGTCTGGAGTTGTTTCTTTTCGGGAGCTTGTCCCCGCCTAGCAACGGGTCTGCTAAGAACTGGTTCGTAGCGCGGAGCCGGGCCAGACAGGCGCTCTTGCTCTTCCTCGGCCCTGAAGGGGGATCTGCCGGCCCAGGGACCTCTCCTCGGACTCTCCACGCGTGTCTGGAGGGCTCTCGGGTTAGGGAAGTGGTGGCGGGGCGCGGGTCCTTTAAGAAGAAACGCGGGGCGCGGCCAGGTAGGGGCGGGTCCCGGGCGGATCAGCGCTGCGCCGGCGCCGGCCCGGGAGCCGGATTTGGAGCGCGCGGCGCCGGTGGGGGCGGAGGGGGCGGTGCGGTGGGGCCTCCCGTGGCCTCAGACGCTCCTACTGGCTCGCGGCCACCGCCCGCCGCCACTTGCGCCTCCAGCTCCTTCGCCCCGGCGGGCCCGGCCGCCGCTTCCGGCAGCTCACCTGGGCCGCGCTCACCTGGGCCGCACCACCTGCCTGCGGGCGCCTGGGCTCCAGGATGAAGGACCGGCTGGAGCAGCTGAAGGCCGTGAGTGTCTCCGCAGGCGGGGGGCTGCGTGGGAGAGGGGCTGCCTTTTGCTCCCCAGGTCGAGGCTGGAGGGGGCCCGAGGCCGAGGCCTGCCCTCCCCGAGTCCCCACCGCTTCCCGCGCCGGTTCCGCACCCTCCCCTCCCCTCCCTTACGGGGTCATGTGCCCGGTGATTCATCGCTAGGCAAAGATTTTCCTGAACGTCTCTAACCCTCCTACCCCGCAAGCTGGACAGTGTCTGTCCAGAGCTGGGTCCCAAGGAGGGTGCTTGGGCCCGGCAGGGCTCACCATGAGGTCAGGGGTCCTCTGACCACCTGCCCACTGCTGCCTGGCATTACGCCCAGGCCCAGCCTCCTCTCCTTTTCCAGTTTCCCTCCTGAGGGGCGCCAGGTCTGGCTACCTCTTCCCCCAGGGAGGAGCTCAGAGCGTCCTGGTGACTCTGGAGCTGTGAGGCGGTCACATGCCGGGGTGGGTCAGCTCCTCTGCAACTGGTGGTTCGTAATTGTTATCCCTGCGTGTCGTTGTCCCCCCTCCACCACCCCATCTTTTGGAACAGCTGTGTAGACTACCTTCCGCCCTGCTGCCCAAAAGCTGTAAAACCTTAGGCTACTTATTGAGTCTCTGTTTCCATATCTGTCACATGGGAGTGATCATACCCTAAGAATTTGTTGGGAGGATCAGATGATACAATGGAACTTGGTATAGAGAAGGGTTAACGCATGGGGTTTTAAGACAGTTATTCATTGACTTACTCAATACGTAATTATTGAGTGTATTCTTTGGGGAGGTCCAGTGCTAAGCCTTGGATTCAGTGGCACAGGTTCTACCTTAATAAAATTAAAATATAGCCTTTGACACTCAAGAGTTTGGTCCATCTACATTGGAGCTTGTTACAACTGTAGCAGCTTAGATCTCAGTCTATCCCCGCAGAATCAGAATCTAGTTGTTCATCAGTTTTCCCAGGTGACTCATGAGCACATAGTTTGGGAAGCACTGGACTGGACTAGAACTGGGGTTGCCTCCTGGCTCCGCTGCTTACTGGCGACCCCTTAAACTCTCAGCCTGTTTTCTCATTTGTAAAATGGGTAGTTGTAAGGTCTAAAAGCAACAGAACGTGCCTAAGAATGCTTTTATGGTGCATGGCACGGGGAACTTAATAAACGGTGAATATTATGCTAATGATTGTGAGTGCTCTTTGGAAAATGCAGAGTGTTCGATGATGTTACAAGAGTTTATCCTTTTCCTGCCTTGCTTGGATGAGACCTTCATGTCTGTTTCACCTGTTCTGGGTAACAGGGCTGCGGAGGAGACAGAGCTGGGGAAGTGAGAGAAGCAAAGGGACAGTTGTCTATTGTGGGAGTGGCCTTCTTGCCTCAGGCTTGTTCTTCGTCATCTGAGCCTCACAGTGTCCAGGTTACTGATCGAGAAGAATTTATTGCCCCTGTTTTTATAGATGGGGCAACTGGTGCTCACAAGGTAGGAGGGATGCCCCAGGACACAGAGCCAGCCACGGTACGACCAGAAGAGGAACCCAGGTTCCCGACACTCTCCATGGTGCTCCTTCCCTGGAAGCATGCTGACTGGGGAGGCAGAAGGAAAAGAAGAGCATGGTTTTGACGATCTCTCTGTGTTGGCACACCCAACCATAAAAAATACAAAACTGAAAAGCAGTCTCCTCCATTTGTTAGGAAATCCATTTCCAGAGGAAGATACTCCATGGCCCCTTTTCAATAGCTCATTGTCAGCAGTGAGCAAAGAGTCTTAACTGAGCTTTGAGTTCCAAGAATACATTTAATTTGCCTGGGAAACCTGAGCAAGTCCCTTTGTCTCTCCTCAGTGCCTCATGGCTACCCTCTGTAAAATGGAATTAATGATGGGTTTCCTCTCTTTCCCTCTTGGGGATGTGGTGAAAGTGAGACTGGAGATAGTGGTGTTATTATGGGAGGATTGTTCTGAAATCACAGGGTGGCTGCTGTAGCGTTTTGGAGCCGATGTTTGGCAGCTCAGGACCAAGGGACGCAGGTGACAGGTCCCAAGACTCTGATCACTGTGTTTCTTTGTGTCACTTAACTTTTTTGCTTCTCAATTTGTCCGTTGTACAACAAGGAATTTAGTTGATTTCAGAAGCCCCTTCTGGCGTTATTATAGGTTTCTGTGAAGACTGTTAAGCGTTAACGTGGATTTGGTGTCTAATTCACTTCCTCTTACCCCCTTCTCCCCAGCTGGACCCCTAGGGATCAATCTCACTGAAATAAGATATGTATCTTCTCCCTGATTTCCATTATCAATGAGAAGCATTCCTTAACGTGCATGAAACAAATTTCACATTGAGCAGCCTATACAATCTCTTTCTGTGGTGTTCGTTCTAAACCCTGGGGAGGCGGGGTGGTAACTGCCGCCCAAGAGCTGGAGAGCTTTCCTGCCTGAGACTGGCTTTGCTCTGGGTAGATACAGGGAGAACATGTGGGGTTGATGGGTAGAAATGAGGAATATGTAAGAAAGCATTTTTAGTGGACAGAGCTGCCCAAGGATGGAGTAGATAGTGCGCCCTCCAGCATGGGAAGGAGGCAGGAAGCTTGTTGGGCTGTTGATTGTTGTAGGAATTTGAGTATCTTTTGAAGGGGAGGTGAACCAGGAGATACAAGGCCTTCACAGCCTTGAGAATGTGTGGTTTTATAAAATGATTCATTGTCTGTGAGCCTGCGGTAAGGCTTTGAAGTTTACAGGGACTGAGGCCTCAGAGTTGCCCCTGTAAAGTGGATCATCACCCTTTTCCCACAGGATCATTATGAGAGTAAAATGAGATAACCTGTGACAGTCACTCGTCACTGTTATTGTGAGTTCCCTTGTCTTGGCCTGCTGGTAGCAATGTCCACACAGAAGTGAATCCTTTCATGAGGTCATGGTCACACACCTGACTTACCTGATGTCATTTCATCTCATCTCTTGCACCGCTCTTCCTGGTGGGCTCCCTCGACAGGCTGTTTCTTCAGTGACAGAGGACAGGCTTGCCGGGAATGTGCAGTGCCTCCATCCAGCCTATCTCAGGACATGGTTCTCTCTGATTTCTCAGCAGCTGAACTTTGAATCTGCTGAGTCTAGTGATCTTTTGTCCGGCCCTGTTTTCATTCAGCAAACATTTACTAAGTACTGAATACCTACTGTGCGCCAGTCCTCGCACTAGGTGATGGAGTGTAGTGGTGATAAACACATGTTCCTGGCCCTTAGAAAGTTCACAGTTGGAAGAAACAGAAGAAATAGACATGAGGATACCATCCTTGTGATAGAAACAACCACAGGAAGACCCTGTTGTCCAGTCTTTGGAAGATGGGAGATGGGCATGAGGCTTTGGGTGGGTTCCCAAGAAGAAGTAATGCTTGAGCTCAGCTGCTTCTTCCAGCCCAGTCTGAGCTCGTCAGATACGTAAAGGTGGTTGGAGATATGTAAGGCACCCTATGTACCAGATACGTAAAAGTTCCTTGTCTCTAATCCTCTCAACCCTGCAAGGGAGAGTGGGTTTTTATGTTATTCTCATTTTACAAGTGAGGGAATTGAGGCTTAGCAAGAAAAGCAAGGATCCTAGATTTTCTTAATCACTCTCCCCTTGGTGTATAAACCATCAAGAACATACAAAGCTCAAGGGAGCATCAGCAGAGTTGCAGGGGTATGGTACTTGCTGATCACCATGATCAGACCTTTGTGACCTCCATGTGCCCCACATCCTGCTGGGCATCAAGTTTAGGTAGGATTATACAAAGTCCTGGTATCGAGGGGTAAATACATGGTCACGTAGGGAAAACAGAGACATGTAGTACATGACAAGAGGACCAACAGTAAGCAAAGGGCGATGATGGTGACGGAGAAGCCAGTGAGGTGTGGAGTAGACGTTGAAGGCTTTGGGCCCCCTGGAGACTCATCTTTAGAGGACTAGATATGACGTGGATGTAATGGCATTTTGAAGACCAGCACTAACAGGAACATGCTAATGAAATCGACCACCTGGGGCTCTAAAGGCCACACTGACTTTTTACTCTCTCTGTTCTGTCTTGTTTCTTACTCCTTCCTAAATGGCTGTTGTTGGCCTCCTTCCCCACTGGAAGCTCCAGGATCTTTGTGGAATCATAGTTCCTTAGGATAACATTGTAACCCCATCAGAAATGTGGAGCTGTATACTTCTCCTTTAAAGCTTAATTTGTTAATAAATATTTATTGAGCCGCTTTTATATGTCAGGTGCTTTGGATCATAACTGGACCTTCACATACCAATCTGCTGCTTCACTGGGATTCTGTCCTTCTCTAGTCATAAAATTTCATACAGGTCAGGATTCCTGCCTCCCCTCTCCTCTGCACCTGGGAGGATTCGTTCTCTGGGAGAGCTGTTTTTCTGTGAGCAGACGGGAAGCAGAGCTGAGAGAGATGGGGATTGAGTAGGGATTACAGCCCCATCAGCCGGAGGCCAGGAAATGCTCAGGATGAGAGAAGGGGATTAATTTTATTTTTATTCCTGTGAGTGTGGGGGAAGTTGGGGGAATTCACAGGAGCTAAGGGGGCGGGGGACACTTGTTCATGTTGTCTTCTCTCTCCTCCAAAGTGTCCTCCCTGCCTTTTGTCTAAATTTCTACCCATCTTCCAAAACCCATTCTTTATAAGAGGTGTTCTCTAACTGCAACCTAGAGTGCTTTCCTTCATCCGTGTAGCTCTCATGGGCTGCATTTTGCTTTGCAGTGAGGTTTTTTTTTTTTTTTTTTTGGTTACCATGGAGTGGGTTTGAAACCACTGTCCATTGCTTTTTATAAGTTGGACTCTTTATCTTCTAGGTCCTTTGTCTTTAAGGTCAATGTTTCTAATACTTCTTGTCACCATATCAATGATAATAACTGATCATTTATTGAGGAGCTACTAACTATTGGAGAGACTTATGCTGCATACCTTATATACCTTGTCTCTGATTCTCTCAATCCCACAAAGCAAAGTGGGTTTTTATATTATTCTCATTTTACA